CGATGGGGTGCCCCCAGGCCTGGCGGAGGAGGGGTCGCCGGCGGGTCCCGGGTTAGTCCGGGAGGGCCGCACGAGGCAGAGCCGCCGGCCCCGAAGGCCAGGCACGGGCGGCTACGCGTTGCGGCGGGGGAAGGTGGGGAAGCGCAGGGGCCTTTGCGGGCAGCTGGACCGGGGAGGGAGGGGATGCTCGGGGCCTGGTTGTGGGGGCCGAGGGTGACCTTAGGGTCGTGGCGGGCTGAGAGCCTCCCGGAGCGCAGGTGCAGGGTAGGAACCGGGTTTTGTCTTTGTCTTCCTTCCAATATTTCCTCCGGGCAGGAAGTTTTTACATAACTCCTTTGTCCACCCACAACCTCCCCCCCCCCTTTCTGTACGGGGAAGACACGTCTTGTCTTTGGATCCTTCCATTCACCTTCTTTCAGATATCAAATAAGCTCGTAAAGATGTGAGTTCCGGTTCATGTCGTGGATAAGACTCTTTCATGGCACTGTAATAACAGGCAGGGTGTGGGCTAGGTTCAAGGAAGAAACAAATAGATCCCACCCCTGAACATTGGTGGCGAGATAAACTAAGCCTGTATCTGGACAAAACTCTGCATTCCTGATATGGCCTATAAATAATAGGTGTTGTGAGTTAAGTTGGAGTGAAGCTAGGGCATGCTATTGATAGGCTGATCTGACTAAATCATTGTCTGTGACCCGTAAAGGAATTCAGAGGCAGAAAGTTGAGGCCAGGCTAAACCTGCTTTTTTAAGCCCTTTCCAAAAACAGATGTAGCCATAAATGGATTGTTTTGATTTCTATAGATGTTGCAGTCTTTAAGATTGTCCCAAGGTGTTAGCTTCTTTTCCTTCTCCCAGTATGGGTGGTGCACAATGGAGGGAATGGCAAATGGGTGCTGTTAAAATTCAGTTCTAAGTGGAGAAATCATTGCAGTTTCAGTTTGTGCTCAAAATTCAAGTACCTCTGCAGCACGCAAAATTGATGGCATCGTCAGTTTGTGACTGTAACAGTTTTCCATTTATCCTCTAAGAGCTGAAACTGTGCTCATGTTTTGTATGCGTGACTGCAACTGGAAAATAAAGGGAGCTTTCCTTTGAGGGCCACACCATAGTGAGTGGCAAAGAAAGAGTGATCTTTAGCTCATGGCAGAAGGTTTTCCTTTCTGGAAGGCATATCTGGAAAGATTTATGCCATTCGGGAGAACACTGGGGTGTAGAAAACACTGTTTATTGTCCTCAGCCTGGGAGAGAGGAAGAGTATGGAGCTGTGTTAAGACAAAACATTGTCTGTTAAGCTTGATATTTATTATTAACTGCATGCCATCAAACCATGCCTGTTTGTTTCTGAATGATGTTCTAGTATGCGGTATTCCTTCAATCACAAGTTTGTCAGTTTCAGCTCCTTCTTGGAGGCCTTACAAAGCAGTCCGGTTGGATGTTTCTTCCATCCTTTCTGGTGTCTGTCATCCCAAGCTTTGGAGGTGATTTTTTTCAATTCAGTTCAGTTCCAATTCACCCATATGTGAATTCAGATTAGAAGAGAAAAAGGAAGCCAACTCCAGTTGGGACTCAGCACCAGTCACCTTTTTTTGCTGTTCCCGGTCTGAGGGGCAAAGGCATGTTATGCAGGATAGGCGCAGAAGGTTCAGTCTGGTGTGGCTAAGCTGAAGATAGCTCCTTTGTTTGGCCAAGCAAATAGGTGTTTCCATATCTTTCAGTTTTGGTGCTTCTGCATTTTACATGACTTTAGAAGTGGTGGGAGGGCAGAAGAATGGAACCCAGCTCTTCCCCCTCAGGAATCTGAAAGTGAAAGACAGAATGCCTGGTTACCTCAGAGAGGAAAAAGGGGGCATGGATTGAAGTGATGAGGACCTCAGAGTTACACCAAAGGCTTGCTTGCTCTTTTCCCTATACAAACTGTTTTGCCATGCCTATTCTAGGCAAGAATAGCTGCCGCTCTTCAGGCGTTAATGGGATTTTCAAATGGGAGGCTTTAATAGGGCAGACATGGCCTGCCATTGAGGGGGTTCCTCTGTTGTATCAGGGAAATCCTTCCATCTGCCTTCTTTCATCAAGAATGCCCTCTCCCGTTTAGATGGCAGGTGGGGACCATCATGGTCAGATGGCTTATATATTGTGTTTAGCCATAGTACAAGAGCTGTTGAGCACTACTTATCTCTCCTTTCTTTCACACACACTTTGGAAAGAGGCATTGGCCACCGTCGCAGTCCCCTTGGTGGCTGCGCGTAGTCAGGCATTCTCTGCCTACTTGGGAGAGACGGTCAAGGGCCGTGCTCAGGAAGTGCCCTCTTGCCACGTTCTGTGCCTTGCTTAAGATACATCTGGTTTCAGGGAGGGCTTGCATGAATGGAAACCCGTGTTCCAAGAAGTTGGGCCTGCCGTGGGGAAAGTCTTTAACAAGATGATCTATTTGGCCATGTCCGAAGATGATATTCTTGGCTACGTTCAATCCCATAGTTGGAAGTTTGTCTTGTGATCAGCTTTGATGATAACCTGGATGAGCGGCCTTGCCAGAGCTTTTGGTCTCCCTGCTGGTTTCAGTGGGGATTGTTGGAGCCCTTAACGTGTGTGATGGTGAGGTAGCTGGGGCCGCCAGTGGTGGAGCAATCTCACTTTGGGCGTGTGGCCTTACAACTCTTCCTGAGCGAGTCATGCTGCCTTGCCTTTGCTCTGAGAGTGCAAAAGACCAAAATGGGTGTTTTGGAGCAAGTTGGACTCCCAACAGTGGTTTTTTCTTTTGAATCCTAGTTCCTCGTCCTTCCAGCCCAAGGTGGCAGAAGCTATTTTTGTGCCCTTGTGAAAGAAGGCTGGCAGTAGCCCCAGGAAAGCCTCTCCACCCAGGCCTGTTGCTTTGTGGGAGGCCCTCTTCAGCAGCCTTGGGGAGCTGGCCTGCTGCCTTTGACTACGCTCCTTCGGGCATTGCCAGAGGGAGCACGTGGGCATTAAGCTTTTCCCATGCGCCTGGTGCATCTGGGTCTTCCTCTGAAGGTGGTTGCTTCAGACTTTGGGTGTTGGTTCTGGAACTGAGAAGTGAAGCCGACAGCAATGTGGAATGTGAGGTTCTCCAGATCTTCTTAGGCAATTGCTGCTTCTAGGAAATAGTGGACGGGAGGGTTGGATCCGCAGTGCTCTCAGGACTGTGGGGAAGAGGGGGTCACCACAAGAGGGAAACTGACTGGCTTGGAGATCGTTTCAGGCTATTTTGCTGTCCTGCTTTCTTAACACCCCTCGCAGCGTCTTTGCTGTAAGTTGTAATCAGGGCTTCAAAAGTCACCCTTTCCTTGGGTTTTAAAAATAAGCGTCCAGGAGCCCAAATGAGGAAGTGCTGCTGGAGGAGCAACTTCTTTCTCCTGTGTGTGTTGGGCCTGGAGTTGCAGGTTTGCCTCGGGGAAGTAGAGAGGGTAGATGCCCCCCCGCCTTATCTCACCAGCATCCCGTACTCCTGATTGGGTTATTCCAGAGGGCAGGGTCTGCTGTTGCTTGGTTGCTGCGTTGTTGTATTCCCCCATCCCTCCACCCTCTGGAGGGGTGCAAGTGGCGAAGATTTGACCCTCCCCCCAATTTCCTGCATTCTGCTTGGAGGGGTGGAAGAAAGGCCATTGTCATCCTCCTTGGATAAGGGTCCTATCCGCAGTTGCTTCTTCCACTCCCGACTCTCTGATTTACCTCCCTTCCTTTCCTGGTGAGAAGGGAGGCAGAACACAGACACCACTGCTTGTTATAACAGCTTGTGCCCCCTCCCCTTGTTTCCCAAGCCAGGGAGATGCGGGCAGGGAGCCCCCCACCACTGGTGTGCCTGGCCGAGAGCAGGTCTTGCTGTCCAGGCCCCTGATCCTTTCTTTCTTTCTCTTTCCCTGTCCGGGAGTTGCCTCCGGCGCCCTTCCCTTCTGGTTGGGCTGGGACCTTGAGACCTTGGCCAGCTTCCCAACCACAGGAGGCTAATTTTGGAAGAAGAGCTTGTGGGGCTGGAGGGGGCCTGCCGGAGGCATGAGTATTACTTGAAGCATCTGGAGGGCCCTGGAGCGGGGCGGAAGGGCTGTTGCGCACGCACTTGTGTCAGAGCAGAGAGGAGATGGTTGGGTCGGTGCCCGGTGCCTGTCCTGGTACCCTTGCAAAGGAGGAGCTGAGCCTTTTGTGGACAAGCAGCAGATGGAAGGCAAAAATAGACTTGGAAGAGCTTCTGTGCCCTGTTGGCTTTTGGGCCATGTTGCCACCTGTGATTAACAGCCTGCCTAACTGGTGTGAGATCCTTGTGTGTGGCTCCTTCCCTCCTTCCTGAGATGTGCTGTGTGACAGAACAGTGACCCTTCTCTGTCCCCCCTCCTTTTCCCTCCCTCCAAGAGGCCTTTCCGAAACAGATGGAAATTGGGGTTACCTTGTCGCTGAGCAGGTGAGCCTGGTGGTTGAGCCCTCGCCCTGGGCCCGTCAGGCAGGCAGGCAAATGTCTGCCTTTTAGGGGCAAGGAGAATTAAGGAGCAGGGGGTTCTCTTGGCCTGTGGGGCCCTTGCTCGGCCCGCAGAGGGGCTTGGGTGAAACCCTCATCCGGTGATCCTACCGAGCTTCTGGAGATCAGAGAGGGTGACAGTGCTGGGCTCCACAGATAAGGCGGCAGGATGAAGTCAGCTTCATGAGTATCTTCCAGAGCTGTGTTTTACACCTCAAAATTCCTTTGACAAGAAACAGATTGAGCTGGAAATGTGGTGGGGAGGCGTCTTTTTCAAAAGTTAATGTCTCCATTTGGGTTTTGTCTGCGTGCAGGATTCTCGGGTTGCGTGGGAAATGCATTGGCTGAGGGGAAGGTGAGGCTCAGGCTGCATCTCATTCACCTTCCCACCTTATTGTCGTGCAACATACCCCCAAATTATTTTGTGTCTGTCCTTTCCATCCCCTCCTTCCGTTAAAAAAAAAAATTAAAATACCGTCCAGTCCAGCAAGCGCCTGGATTTGGCAGTAGCTTTTTCCTTGAAAGGTAGGGGTGTGTGTGTGTGTGTGTGTGTGTGTGAGAGAGAGAGAGGGGAGAATGACAGTAATTTAATTCAAGAATCAGATGCATTGTGTACAGAAAAGTGCTTGGGCCAAGGAGGATCCTTGGTGAACTTGGAGGGTCAGCAGCTGGTGCTGTTATCTGTGGGGCCTTCTGGGAGCTGGGCTTAAGAAGGGCAGGTTCCTGGAGCCCTGTGCCCCAGACCTGAAGGCGTGGGGTGTGAAAGGCCGTAGTCTGAATTCTAGATTTTGACAGAACTCTGAGAATTAAGTTTTACCTTTCCCAGCCAGAAGCCCTTCAGGTGTGCTAGCTTACAGCAGCTGGTATCTGCAGCCAGCGTGGCCTTCTCTCAGGTGGGGTGGGGGTTGGGATCGCCTGCTTGAAATCTATCAGTGCCTGCAGGATTTCTTGGCAGATTCTTTTCCTTCTCCAACCTGGCACTCTCCAGATTGTTGGTACTGCAGATGGGCTGGGAATTCTGGGAACCGCAGCAGCAGCACATCCAGGGGGTGCCAGATTAGGGAAGCCTGTTTTTTCCTCTCCCCATAATGTGAAATGGAAGCAGAAGAGAAATGTTTGTTTTTGCAGTATGGGCTTGGTTCATGGGCACTGTTCTTGGGAAACCTTTGAACTAATTTCCTCTTTTCTGGGCCAGTAAGCAATTTGTGACCACTTAGGAACCAAGATTTAGCCATCTGTGGCTCAGCCTCACAAAATTTTAACCATAATACTTTGATCAGGGTTTATGGTACCACCAGATTTCTTGTCTGCATTCTTCTGTGGCAAGCCACTCCTGTGGAATTGGCCGCCCTGTGTCTGGGTGTGCCCTTGGCCTGCCAGAAACTCTGATTTGAGCCTGTTTTCACAATCCCAACCTTTTCGTTGTTGTGTGTTCCACTGGCAGGTGATCCAGTATCAAACCGTGCGCTATGATATTCTTCCCCTTTCCAGGGTTTCGCGGGAGCGGCTTAGTAAGTATTATCTTATGTCTCAGATGTACATTGCAGGGGGCTGGAAGGGGTTCAGGGCTCTGGGTCTCACGTCACTCGCCTCCTTTTTCTCTCTCCGGCAGACCAGGTGAAGAGGAAGATCCTCGTCCTCGACCTGGATGAGACACTGATTCATTCCCATCACGATGGGGTCCTGAGGCCCACAGTGAGGCCAGGGACTCCCCCTGACTTTATTCTGAAGGTGAGGCCCTTCTGGACCAAGACCAGGCTCTCTGAAGAGGTGTAGACATGAAGTCGTTGGGTTCAAAACGGTAGTCCTTTTGCAGAAGCTGCAGGGTTGGAGCGTGGCGGTCTCCCAGGGCGCTCTTGATTGGGAGGCCTTCCTTCCTGCACATGCCCAGAGCCAGCCAAAGGCCTCTTGGACAGTCCTGGAGTCCAGCTGCGCCACCAACTTTGAGTGGTGGTTTGGGATGGAGGGCCCAGGAGCCTGCCCAGACATAAAAAGATGTTTCCAGTTCTGAATACTTCTCGTTAGCTGGCATCCTCAGTAGCCTGGTTCCGGGAAATGGGCTGTTGGTCGCGAGAGGTCATGAGGTTGTCAGTGTCGGATGCCCGTGCTCTTTGCAGACTGTTTCTAACGACCGTTCCTTTTCCCAGGTCGTCATAGATAAGCATCCCGTCCGCTTTTTTGTACATAAGAGGCCGCACGTGGACTTTTTTCTAGAAGTGGTAAGAATGCGGTGTGGCTATATTTCTGCTTCAGACAAGAATGCCCGAGGGATGTCAGCATGTCTAAAGATTCATCTCGAACTTACAGCGATTAAGACGGTCTCTTGCTACAGAGACTGAAGGCTAGAGAGGCCAGCAAAGGGGGCCAGGCTAGCTGTGGCATCTCTTCTGTCCCTGAAAAGCAGCACAGGGTTCTTTGGAATGAGAGGCAGCTGCCTTGGGACAGATTTAGATTTGGTTTCTGGAGAAAGCGGCAGGATGGGGTCAGGCAAAGTCTCCAGGTTTTTTCTGTGGGCTCTGGTCATGGGGAGGGGTTTTCCCAGCTACACGGAAGTGAAAAAGCACAACTGAATAATGGCCCTTTTCTAAATTTACACCTCCTGTTAGATAGGAGTTGAGTGGTCCTGTTGGGTGGGGACAATGAGGTTTATAGCCTGGCATCCTTGACACCTGGCCTGGGGAGGCTGCCTGCTGTGCTTTCTGCAAGAGGAGAAAGGTCAAACAGCCCCTCTCTAGGCTAGGTGGAGCATCCTCTCGAAACTGGGAAATGTTGCAAGACAGGAGGGGGTGGGCGGGCTGCTGGACAGCAGGCCTTGTTGCTGACTTCTCCTGGCCACGGGGAGGCAGTGGCGGGCCGTTGGCCCGACAGCTTTTCTGGGTTTATCTGCATACCTTGGAGCAGGAGGGGCATGGTTTAATTAAGGAATGGGGGGATGCTCGGTTGATAGCAGCCTTCCCCCCACCCCAGTACCCCCCAGGCCTGTTGGGGCAATGCCTTGGACTCCCAGCCTCAGCTGTGAGGAGTCCTTCTGGAGAACGCCAGAGTGGGAGGCCAGGACGCAGCCTTGAGGGAAGCCCGGGGGGCGTTTCGGTGGGAATGAATCCAAGTAAGACGTCCCCTCCCACCTTTTGGCCTCCCTGCTCCCCGCCCTCCCCTCTTCCAGGTGAGCCAGTGGTACGAGCTTGTGGTCTTCACAGCCAGCATGGAAATCTATGGCTCCGCGGTGGCGGATAAGCTGGATAACAACAGGAGCATCCTGAGGCGGAGATACTACAGGCAGGTGAGTGGCCCCCCCAGACACCTGTCCGCAGCTGGCGAGCCAGCTGCCCCTCAGCCAGCAGCCTTTTCTCCTGGGCCCTCTTTCCCTTTCAGCAGGCAGAGAGTTGCCTTTGCGGGGACTGACCTTTTCCTCCACGCGCTCTCTTTCTTCAGCACTGCACTTTGGAGCTGGGCAGTTACATCAAAGATCTTTCAGTGGTCCATAACGATCTGTCCAGCATCGTCATCTTGGACAATTCCCCAGGAGCCTACAGGAGCCATCCAGGCAAGACGTTTTTTCTGTCCCCCCTGCCCCCCACAAGCAAGTTGGGTTTCTGGGCTGCAGCTAGTTCACGCGTATTAGGAGAACTCACCCTCTCGCGTCTTAGGGGAAACGATCCGTGAGTCATTTCCTATTGGAAGAAGCCCAGTGCGCACGTTACGAGAAACATCTCGGCTTCTACATGGCCTTTTGCTTTTGTGGAAATGGCGCGGCACGAACTTGCAAGTTTGGAAAAACGAGAAGCAGGATGAAACTGAAGGTGACACAGCCTTCTTGGTCCCCGAGCACAGGTGTAGCAAGAGGAAGCCATCCTGGCTTTCAACCACTTTAGACTTTGTGAAGAGGCCCAGCAGAAGGGATGGTGGGGAGATGGGAGAGAAGGGTGAACAAGGTGATTACTGAGTAGAACTTGAGGCTTTTGAGCTTGGAGCCGAGATGGTTAATGGGAGGCATGACTGAGGTCTCCTAAAGCAGGTATGCTGGGGAAAATGTGGCTGGAGGCAGGATTGTCTTGCTTTTGCGCAGCGCTGAACTTGGGCTCATCTGTTAGAAAAAACGGGGAAACTTCGAGCTTCTGTTCACAGCGCTTAAGATGTGGAATTCGATGTGAGGAGGATGGCCACAGACAACAGCTTTCGGGGGGGGAGTTTGTGGTAGATGAACACACTCATGAGTTCCCCGTCTTGATGCTCTCCTTGGTCACAGGGAGGTGGAGTTACACGCTGCTGTTACAGCAGCAGTGGGAAAAGATCTGCTGCTCTCCTTTCCGTGTTCAGGGGGCCTCTCGGTGGCCCCTGGGGACCCAGGATGCTGGTCTGGGGGACCTGCTGCTCCAGCCCAGCCTCGGGGTGCCTGCTTCCAGTGCTCTGCCTGGGAGTGTGAACGAGGTGCTTGGCTTTCTGTCCGGCAGATAACGCGATCCCCATTAAGTCATGGTTCAGTGACCCCAGTGACACGGCGCTTCTCAACCTCCTCCCTATGCTCGATGCCTTGAGGTAACACCCCAGCGACGAGAGGGGTCTCACTCCTGGAGGTGGGGGGCTTCGCAGGGGACGGGAGGGCTGGCCAAATTTTCCCGGTGGGTCCTGGGACTGGCTGAGCATGTGTGACCGCAGCCAAGGGGAGCAAGGGGGAAGCAGAAGGTCAGCGGACGGAGGAAGCGGCATTCACTGGTCTCCTCCCCTTCAGGTTCACAGCGGACGTCCGGTCGGTGCTCAGCCGGAACCTGCATCAGCATCGCCTTTGGTGACGGCGGCTCCTCCTTTCTTCAGGGTTTGGCCTCAACCTCTGCCTTATCCCACCATCGCGCCCCCCGTGTGCCTTGGTCGCTGGGGTTCTGACAAACGGCTTCAGACGTGGCCAGCCAGCGGGGGACGACGCCCAGGGGAACTGCACTTCGGCCTCCCCCCGCGGCCATCTGCTGCCCTCTCCACCGCGACCGGCACCCCGGAGACTGGCAGAGACTCAGCCGGGCAAAGAGGGGGAGAGGGCCGTGCTGCTGGCGCGAGACCGGCGGCTGCGGGGGGCAAGATGCACAAGAAAGGGGGTGACACGAGCCAGCTGCAGAGACCGACACGACAGACCTTTTGAGAGGAGGCTGTGTTTCTCATGGGAAAGAGCACCCTCCCTCCCCAGCTTTTATGTTCCTTTCTCTCCCCCTCCCCCAGCCCTTGGATAAAAGAGGGGGCTGCTTCATCCAAGAAGGACCTTTCCGATGACTGGCAAGCCCGGCTTCCTTTTTCAAGGGTCTTGCCCCCCTCCCCCTGCAGTGGAAGCAGGTTGGCCCTTCCGCTGGAAATTGCGTGGAGGCCCCTCGTTCCAGGATGTCTTCGTTTTTATTTTATTTCTTGGACTTCTGGGGTGGGGAGGGGTCGAATGATGAGATATTATAGCCTTGAACTGAGGTGGAAAAAAACCAAAACACCGAAACTGACTCTTGGCGGTTCTTATTCCTCCTGAGCGGGAGGGAGCTGGCTGGGCGCGTGAATGGCTCCCCGAATCCGGCCTTTATTCCTCCCCTGAGGTCAGGGGGTGAGGTGGTGGAAGCGGGGAGTTGCCCCAGCCTGGGCTGGAGTTGGTCTTCCAGCCGGGGTGAGGCGGAGCCGGAGCCCCCTGGCTCACTGCAGGCCATGGCTTGGCCAGATCTGGCTCCTGTGCTTGGGTGTTGCCCTGGGCTGCTGTGCATCGGCCGCTCCAGGCTGGGGCCGCTGGGGGGGAAAGCCTGCCGACGGCTGGGGCCCCTGGGCCCTTCCTGGCAGGGCCCCTTCCCCTGGCGCCCCTGCAGTTCCCTGCTCGCTCCGGTGGCCCCAAAGACGTGTGGGGCTGGGCAACCTGGAAGCGGCTGGAGCAGCGTGGCTCCATCGCCCCGTCCGCGGCGTGGCTGGGGACTAC